TCGGTCATACGGTTCTGAGTCGTCCAACTACGCAAGGCAGTCAACGTTGCACCGAAACCTGGAAAGAGTCTCTCAGACGCTAAGATCATAGTCATACTCCCTGACCACATCGGCCTCGGCATTCGCAATGCCTCCTCGACCTCCTCCACGCACTTCACCCACGCACTTCCTGTGCATACCCCTCGTCACCGCCTCTTCCCGGCCCCAGCTGTCGAAAAGCCTGGCATCCTTTAAAGCAGATGTCACTAGCCCAGACAGCTTCGCCATCCCTTCAGACGCCGTCCGTCCCCTCGGCACCCTCCACCTCACCCTCGGTGTAATGAGCTTCCCCAAGAACGAAGGCGTCGAGAAGGCCGTCGAAGTACTTCACTCGCTGAAGCCGCGAGAGATGCTATCAACCGTCAAGCCCCTATCCTCCATAACCCCCTTGGCCGGGCCAGCCTCCTCGACCCCTGAGAAGCCTCTCTCCCTCACCCTCCGCGGTCTCCATTCCATCCAGCCCGCTCAGAAAGCCACGGTCCTGTACGCGCCGCCGATCGACCCCGACGGTGTCTTCCGTGGCTTTTGCGAGAAGCTGAGGGGAGTCTTCCAGGAGTCCGAGGTGATGGACAAGGAAGACCGGCCGTTGCTATTGCACGCCACCATCGTGAACACCATCTACGTCAAGGGTGGCAGGGGCAAGAAGGGGTCGAGGATGACCATCGATGCGAGAGATATACTTGACCGGTACGATGACTACGTGTGGATGGAGGACGTGCCGGTGGAAAAGATTGCCATCTGTCGTATGGGGGCCAAGCAGATTGAGGGTGTAGACGATCAGGAATACGAGGTTGAGGCAGAGATCGACTTTTAGGGACGAGATATGGTTCTGGACGAATGTCTAGAGAGGATACCTCCTCGACTAGCTATATGCCGAACGGACTCATATGAGGAGAAGCACCCGAGTTGAACTAGTCATAGACGGGGTACTTCAGGCAAACTGATATCGCCATGTCGGCGCCATCAGGTCCCATTGCAGAAGCAGGGTGCCTTGGGGCAGCATCGGCAGTATTACACCAGATTCGACCTCTATTTCTAACGCTATGTAGACACAGTTCGAGATATGCTGCAAGTGAAGCTCACGTTTAATACCCAAATGGAGGGAGTGAGTGCCCAAGACCGAGCCAAAACACATGATTCCTTTATGTAACCTTGGCAAGGTAACAAACACCGCTTCCAGGCAAGGTAGGAAGACCTGAGAGTAGCATCATTTCCACTGCCAGGGCAATATACCTACTGTAAAATCTTCTCATCTCGGCCCCTGCCATTGTCCCTCCATGTCTCTCTGTGGTGCTTCAGATGAACCGCCAGGATCTTCCAAAGGAGATTGCAGTGAAGCTGCAGGGGTCTGAATGGACGCGCATCACCACAGGGCTCCCTAGGCCACCTAACCGCACCGCCAGCCCCCACGACTGTCAGCCCCAAGCACGCGGCCACAAGCCGCCGGGCCGCTAAAAATACGGCCCCGGCAGGGTCCAGTCACGGCGGGCTCTACCTGGGTTATAGACACTGGAGCCCCCAACTCAGCGAGCATCCCCGCTCTCGCCCCCAACACGACGGACGAATACGTATGCCCCCCCGTCAAGGTCTGCCTTACCTAAACCTACTGTGTAGCGACCTCCGCCGGTTGCTTGCGACGACACTCTCCAGCTCAGCTCAGCTCAGCCCGACACGAGAGACAGAGGGATACACAGAGTGAGATCTCTCCTCTCTCGCCATTTAAGAGGGCAGGCGCCAGACGACTTTTGCCTCCTGCAGGCACCCGACGAAGTTCTCCTCCCCTCAACCATCGTGGCCGCTCTCCCCTCCCCCCACCTCTAGGCAACAAACGAAAGCTCCAAGCGGGGGGATAGAGAGACCATCCTCCTCCCCCTCCATCGCGAACTCCCCCGCCCTTCGACTTCCTACACAACATGCAGCAGCACCGCATCCGAAGCCGCATGCTCCTCCTCCCCCTTCTGTCCCGCCGTTCCCATGACGAAAGATAAGAAGCTGCTCCAGATGTCCGACAAGCGCCGCCCCGGCGGCAGTGTCAGCAATACGAGCAGCGGCAGTAATACCGGGAGCGGTAGCAGCAACAACACCACGGGAGGCTCGACTGCTGGATCGAAAGGAGGATCGAACACACACTCGCTACACACGACGAGCTCGCGGAGCCCCGGCTCAGGCGCCGCGGCGAGCATCATCGCGCCGCCGCCCCGCGCACACCATGCGCCCACGAGCTCAGCTGTGCCCGACGAGGGCAGCAGCTCCCGCGAGTCAGGGAAAGATGCAAAGGATAAGGAGTCCAGGTCAACAAAAGATACCCCCAGCACAGGAAGCGCTGTCAACACCGGCAGCGGTAGCAGCAGCAGCAGCAGTACGACATTGCTCAAGGACAAGGATGCTCGTATAGCGAAGCTCGAGCGCGAGCTCGAGATAATGGAGCAAGAGTTCACGAGGGAACTCGACAAGCTCTCCCAGGCCGAGAGCGAAACGGCGGTCTATTGGCAGGCGAAGCACAGCGAGCTGAACGAGCAGTTCCTGCGAGCCGACGCGGATCTCAGGATACTGAGGCAAGAGGCTGAGCACCGCGACGCGGACCGCGACGCCTTGCGACGAGAGGTCGGGGAGCTGAGGGCGCAGGTCAGGGGGCTGAAGGAGTTTGTGAGCACGAGCACGCGGACGAACGGGCAGACGTCCGACGAGGTCTTTTGTGAGGGGATGATGAGGTTAGGCAACGGCTTGCAGAACTGGATCATTGTCCACTTTCGGAGGGCGAAACTAGGTGTGTTTCTTTCCACTTTGGAAGCCATGCAGCTTGAGAGCGTGTAGACTGATCCAGCGCAGATGTTGCTGCCGCCAGCGAGGAGATCCGCGACGAGCTGGGGCGTTTAGTACCCATGTACGCGGACCTGGAGACATCGGCGAAGGTGCACATGCTGCAGTCCATCGTGTCGCGGATTCTCATGGATGTCATCTTCGAGAACTGCTTCTTCGGGTTGCCCAAAGAGCAGGCGGACAAATTCAGGGCGATGGAGGAGACCTTGTCAAGCTACGGTTTGTCACTTGCCGCTGGCCGGATCCATCCAACGAGGTGCTGACAAAAGAGCTTTAGTGGATGACGCGGAAGCACTCAACAACTGGCGGTCCTCGACGCTGGCGCTTTTCCAGCGCGAGGCGGAGACGAAGATGCAGGCAGAAACAGCGGAATCGACAGACGGCGTCATCGCCCGCGTAAACGGCATCCTCGACGCCGTCACCGACGCCAAGGCCACCGAAGCCCGCGACACGGCCCTCCGGACCCTAGTCGGCAGCGCGGTGGACCTGTCGCGGCAGCTCGCGGTCCAAAAAGCCGTCTTCCGGATCCACATGCCCGACATCGTCCCGGACCAGGAGACCAAGTTCGACCCCGCAACCATGGAGGACATTGGCGGGGAGGACGAGGAAGCTCTCGCGGGGCGCAACATTTCCTGCGTCACCTTCCCCGGCGTCATCAAGCGCGGGGACGAGAACGGCGGGCACATGCAATACCAGAATATCATTGCCAAGGCTAGGGTACTTTGTAGTCCCGAATGATGATGAAGAAGCTGTAGCCACCCACCATCCCTTTTGGCGTATATCGTCCAATCCTCCTCCATAATGATGATGATACTCATGGCCCACGTTTACGCACCGACGCCCATGACAGAAAGTGCACATTTGTAGCCCGTCTGCCGTTATCATCCTTGCCCTCCTCTATCAGTCTTGGCCGCCGGCGAATACCCCCTCCACAACTAGCATTCATATGACGACTTACCGCTTCTTTCCCCCTTGTCTCCCGCCGCGGCCTAAGCCGACGCCGTTGCCGCATTTCGTATCCCATCCATCACCAACTCACAGCTTCCCAAGCACCCATGGGCGGATGGGATAACAACCCCGGTATGGCCGACCAATCGACGCGGGTTCCCACCCCAAGAGACATGCAGCGCCAGCGACCTGCAGCTCCCACGCCCGAATCCACAAGAACCAGTGTGGGGCGGGGTTGGTGGTAGAGACGGATCTCCCTCTTCTCTCCCTACGGCACCACCTCACCTGCTATGGAAGTCAATCTGGATCCTTCCCCCGACTGCTCACCAGTGGAGGGGGAGGATGAAAGAGGAAGGATTGTGCGGCTCTGCAACAATGCAGAGCGATGCTTCCGGGTCTATGGCACCCCCCAAAGCTTGCAGGCTCTTCGCGTCACCTACCACGTTGTGCCCAGGGCGACTGCAGCACCTGATACTCGTGGGTTTTCAGGTGAGAGTTAGCCATGCGATTCCAACCGCCAGTGAAGGCAGAAACTATTGGAATCCGACGCCTAAAAAAAGACAAATTTTCGAGCCACGTTCGCTCATGGAAGGGATTCCCTTGGTTCGATGTTAGCAATTCGACCCCTTTTTTTCAATCATTGCTCCAGAGTCTGTGAGGGAGACTTCTCCCGGCGTTCCGTCATGTATCACCGCAGGCGCCGCGCAGCAGCTCGCTTGCTCTGTTACTACCAACAAACCCCCGCTCTGCCTGTCTCTCTTTCCACCCTGGCAACTGCCCATACACGTGTACACCGCATAGTGGGTGGCTCACGCAACTATTCTCCTGGACCAATTCGGCCAAGATGCCCTTGACGAGAGCTCGGGCGACCCCCGTGCGGGTTTCTCTGTACAACATCAAGGGACTGTGCATTCGGAGATCCTTAGCCCTATGCTGTCACAAGTGCAGCTGATCGGACGGCAGCTCCGAAGGTCCATTGACCGTCCACAAGATCGTCGATCTTTCTGCGGCGGGCACAAGCTCGGAGACGACATCAGACCGAGACGAACACCTTCCTTGAAGACGATCGCGGACCAAGGCCAAAGCTATGTCTGCTGACATTCATCTTTCGACATTGGTGAGTCAACGATACCGGCCGTGGGAGCTGATGCTGGCTTCGAGGGTGGTGTGGATAGCCAGCTAGTCCGCTGCTGCTATCCGTCCCGAAGGGTGAGGGTTCGTGCCGATGGCCATGGTTCGCATCCGGAAGGCCGCCGGCGAGGGGGTTGCAAGCCGCTTAGGTCCTTGGTGCACGTAAGATTCCAGCCCATAAAGACTGACGCGTAACGGAAATCCAACAACGCAGAGAAGAGGAGACTTCCTCCCTCTTTTCCTCGTTCCTTTCTCTCCATTATTGTTGAGCTGGATCGTTCAGGAGCTAACCCTCATCTGCCCGTTGAAAGCTGGAACTTTGTTGTAGGGATCGAAGTGCAGGCACTTGGCTGCAGCATCCATCCCCTGTGAACATCCACTTCAGTCTTCCGGCATACTCCCCACCCACCCAGCTTGAATACCATCCTCTCTCGTCTTCGTGTCTCTCGTTGTCTCTTCTGTCGTCGCATTTTCGCCTGTTGCGTCGACCCTCGGAGGTGAGACTCGTTGGCTTCCATATTGTATGGATGGAGTTAGTGAGCTCCTCGCCAGTTCCCTTCTGAAGGCGTAACATATCTGACGTTGTACAAGGCTCATCTCGTCAGCGACAGCAAACATTCGTTTTACTTCAGCGTTGATCCAACCTTTTCACCATGGAGAGACACAATTTCGGATACGGGTATCCGTATCCCTCCGCAGATCGTGAATCTACTCCTCGCTACGTTCCTCGAGCAGGGTCCACGTCCGTGACGTCTTCCACTTCTTGGCAGTCCAGCTCTGGCGGCAGCAACGATAGCGGCTATACCTATTCATCGGGATCTTCTGGACAATACAACAGTCATCGCATACCCGACAGCTACTCTGTATCGACTGCTCCGTCGAGCTTCACGGCGCTGAGCACTATGCAGCAGCAATTCAATGGGCAAACGACAGCCATATCAAGCCCACGCCGGCTTGGTTGTGAATTCAAAGCCTGGACGGGCTGTCAGCGGTCGTTCGGGCTTGAAGAGGACGAAATTGGCCAGTGGATACGCCATGTCGAGGATGACCATCTTGGGCGAAATTACCCAAGTCGTTGTATTTGCTGGTTCTGCGATGATGTCGAATTCCGCACCGAACTGCCCCATGATCCCGGCATGAACTTCGAGTACAGGATGAAGCACATCGCAGACCACGTCTTGGAAGGGTTCCATTTCGAGAACAGGAGACCCGACTTCCACTTCCTTGACCATGTGTACAGCATAGGACTGATATCGCCTGAGGCATTCGCGCTAGCCAAAGGGCAGAGTGAAGGGCCGGCAGCACCACCGGGTGTGCATCCGTCAGGCTTCAGACCAGCGGCGCGACAAGCAAGGCCCGAATCAGTGGTGTACGTGTCGAACAGTAGTCGGCGACGACAGAGAGATACCCGGCGTCATGCCTAAGAGGTATGTCGAACGTCTGGTGGCCAGTCTCGTTGTTCCGGGATGTGGGTAGGTGCGCTTGCTTGGATCTCGGAGCGGGCCGGTGTCGATCACTGAGCGGGGGGAGCCGGCAGTCTCCCGATTTGTCTGTCTTTGGAGGCGTTGGTGCGAACCACAGTTCGTCTGGTTTCCTTTCGGTTGATAAGCTTTTCCATTCCTCATCATCTCGTCACGCTGCACAAGGCACTTCGTGCACCTCGGACGAAGGCAGTTGCAGAGGCCCTCGGGCCTTCCTGCCTGTCTGACTGCCCTCTATGATGAATACTCAGTCTTGTATACCTAGAGCCTGAAGACCTCCGCGAGGCCACAGAGGAGGACGCGTGCACCAAGGCAAGGCACAGGCTAGGTGTAAGGCTGACTGGTGGTGATCCCGAGCGATGGGCGAGAGCGAGGTCGAGAGCGAAGTCGAGCAGCAGGGGACTCCCTCGGTGTTCTGGAGGAGATGACCCCTCTTCCGGTGTGCCGAGGGCCACGAGGGTTCGAATTCGCGATGGCCACGCTTTCCTTTGTGAGATGCTTAGTACAAGTTTGGGCGAGTAAGTTATGGGTTCAGGACGTTTTTGTTTCGCGTGAAATTGGAGGACATGCGTCGTTCGTTGGGGAGGATCATGTGCTTCCCTGGTAGGCAACAACGTGCACAAGGACCTTTCTCTACCGCATTCACTGCAGGGGTTTCTCTTTCCGGCTTCGTCTATGCTTTTGGGGAAAGAAGGAAGGTGGCCGCTCTCCACTTTGGTCAGCGCAACCTCGGATGATAACAGACATACATAGGAACCAGACCTTCCATAGCACAACGTTGACGACAACAAGTTTATGATGAAGATTTTGCATGACTGTGCTACAGGTTTTCTTGACTGCTCAGGCATCAGGCTTGAGCAAGAGGTGTCCACATGTCACTTTATGTGTTGTGTCGGTTTGCCCAACACTCCCGATCACTTCGCCTTGCTGTGAATCTTTCGCCAGGAGCCAATTATCGCTGCAGCTAGATTTTCGATGGAGTCTCCCCCCCAATAGGCTTACTTCCATCCAAAACAGGGCTGTGGCGAGATGCGTGGCTCCCGACCTTTTTTTCCCAACCACTGACTTACATGCTGCGCATGCACAGCCTCACTCGGCCCGCGCGGGAGTCAAGTCCAGCTGAGCGACGAGAACTCAGACACGAGGATATTGGTCCGGCGTCTCCGCTCAGGTAGTATCACCGTTGGCGTCGTAGAATGGGAATGTGATGTGAAAGAAGAAAAAATATGACCGTTGAGCATGTCACAGAGCATGTAATATGCAGGGTCGTCCAGGGTATTCGCCCTGTGGGATCCCAGAGCTGCTGTTGTTAGGCCTCGTTTTCGGGATTGGTTGGCATGTTAAAGTTGCCGTCTATTCCCAATAAGGAGAGGAGGAGCACTGGCGGATGCATGTGTCGGACGCGTCAATTGTGGCACAATGTGCTTCTTGCTTGGCGAGATATTGTGTTCTCGAGACTGGTTCCTCACGAACTATATATAACAAAAGGGAGGCTTCAACCCACGAGGTCCGCATTTCGAATTTCTTTCATGCCGAAACGCCCTCGTGCGAAATACCTCTTCCGCGCCAATTACCCTTCATTACGTCTCATTCACCCTCAGTGGAACTCGGCGTCGACACGGCCATACCTGACGCCGTCCACCTTCAGCTCAAATCCCAGACCAGCACTGTCGACAATCATCTCCAGTGTAAAGTCAAGATTGTCAAACTCCACGCCTCGTGTTGTTGTTAACCTTGTGAACAAGCTTCGTGGCACTGCTGCAAGATCTGTTGTGAGTGTGCATACGTGTATGAGGTCACGAGTGTATGCTGAGGGCGGTTCGTCCGCTTCGCATGCAATTAGATCGTCTGTCACCGTAAGGGACTGCCCAGGGCGGAAGTTTCGAGTATAGTGGAATGCGATAGGCTCCTGAGGTGATATTGCCTCGCCCTGCAATCGCATGTCGGTCAGTCGTCGTCCCCTCGGAGGTACGCTAAACACTGAGCAATAGAATTCAGACTCACCTTCGCAATGTGCCACTGCATGCGGTCCGACACCATCCACCGCTCCCACAGTGGTGACCAGTACCGCTCGCTGACCGAGTGTTTCTCTTCGTCGTACACGGTTGCGTATGATGTGCCGTAGTGGTACCGGGCTTTTCTCGATATCACCATGTTGCCCTCAAGTCCTCGCAGAACTGCTCCACGCACAACAGCCGTCCAGGCATACACAGGCTGCATCACTTCGATGGAAGCAGTCTCTTGCAGTGTGGTCATGGTTCCATGAGTCGGCCGTTCGGTGTAAGGTGGTGGTGCCGCGCTGTTGAAATGCGACTTCAGTCTGCGGTAGAGGTAGTCGCTCTGGCCGAACCCTCCGACTAACACGATCCCAGACACGACGCCGCCCGCTTGGCGGATCCCATCTACCTGGCCCTGGACAAGATCGCAGACCTCTTTGACGACAGGCTCAAATATTTCTTTGATCTCGGCGGCCGTCATGATCATAAATCCGCAGTCCAACCCGGCCTCTTCGTCGTCTGGTAACCCAGGGAATCTTGCCCAAATTAGAATATTTCCCTTTGCGAGTGTGAGAAGTAAACTTACGGTACGTTGACCTCTTGGTGCTCATCTTCGTTGAAGTTCCGCTTCACAAACTCTTCGAAATATCTGAGGCCCATCTGCCATGTTTTCTGTTTCTTGTGCATCATCTCGTCAAACCGGGTATGACCGAGCTTGTTCTTCACGTGCTCTTCGAATCTGTAGTTTAGGAATGCGCTTCCGCAAAGACCACCGGTTCCCACGGCAGACTCTTCGACCTTGAGCGGCTTGAGTGAAATAATTTTGTAGGCGATCAGACTACGGCCGTCAGCAATGTTTGCGTGTACTCGTCCGCGCAAGACTTACTCGACAGTTCCGCCACCAGCATCACATACAATGAAGTTGTCGCCAACGTTTAGGTGGTTTGGTTGGATGGCCTTCAGCGTGTAGACAGCCGCGGCTTCGGGTTCGCTGATCATTTGGATCTCCGACATGGACCCCATACCGGCTCGTTCGGCGGCTTGCAAAGTCGTGTTCTTCGCCGCGTCTGACCACACCGCTGGACAGGTCAGGACGAACTCGACCTTGGTGGACGCCATGAAGGATTCGCCGTATCTTCGAGTCAGGGTGTCTATTGTGTGCTTGTAGACTTGTGTGAGATAGTCGCTAACGGCATCAAGGACGTTCTTGTTGTAGCGTTTTAGCTGCGCCGCCGTTTCCAGCGGGCTCACGTAGAAAGGTAACTTCTGTGAGCGGTCAAGGAATAGTTTGATACACCGAAGGCGGGATTCCTCTGGCTTGAACTGGAAGCCCCATTTCACATTAGGTTTTGTGCCTTCGGGGGCATTCTGAGGAAAGTCATAGCTGATCTCGGTGGGCACCTTGTCCGACGTGATGCCATTGCCGCCGGGCCATGTCTTGATGATTTCGACATCGTCTGGTGTTGACGTGTAGACGGCGGCGACGCTGAGCTGAAGTCAGCCAAAGTGACTAGGGTCAGGCACGACTGCCAGTGCAATGATGGTGTGGGTAGATCACCGCGAATGAAAGGAAGCATCACGAAAGCGAAGGGTGCAAATAAAGAAGAAGACATCTCATGAGCATCATGACGGGCGTCGAGGCGTGCGCAACTCACCCTGAGAAAGTGGTACCAAAATCGACGCCAACAATCAGTCGATCGGCCGGGCCGAACAGCTCACGTGGGGGAGCCTGTCGTTGCGGAGGGCCATTGACGGCTTCGGTGGAGGAGTTGGGCGTGAAGCTGGTGAAGTAGCTGCTCCGGCTCGCTTGGTTCCGTAGACTGCTCGAGGCCGGCCGGAGGGGAAGATTGAAGCTCATGGCGGCAGTACCAGATCTGGATATCTGCTCACACCCATAATCCGCACGACGGGACCAGCGGCAGAGACAAAGCGAGCGGGACAAGCCCTCGCATGCGACCCTTGGCGAACTGACTGGAAAGATGGATCAAGGCGATACGTCGTCGTTTCGTGAGGTTGCGCAAAAAGCAAGAGTGCAGATCGTCTCTTCAGAACAGCAAGGCTACGGGACCATGATCGTGGGGGGAAGACGGTGGAGG